CCTACAACCACACCCATTTATTAAACGCCATCAACAAGAAAGAAATAAAAGTATTTCCTTTAGATGAATTTACGAAAAACTGATATTGAATTGTAGTTCATTTTTCATTTATATTTCAGTATTTTTACTTTGTCTTTGAAAGACAATAATAGTGAACTAACTAAAATACTATAAAAATATTCGATTCTTTATGTGTATGAAATCACGTTAAAAGACCACTCATAATAGAAAATTTCTGCTAATAAAAGACCTCTTTACAAATTTGTGTGTTAAAACATACTAGAAGATTCGGAATCTTTTAATTAGTAGAGAGGTTTACAACAGAAATTGAATCTGCTCGTGGAAAAGGAATCGGTTTAGGTATATTTATTGTTTTGCTTTTTCAAATCTAGAATATACAACGGTTTGCTTAAAATAAGTACAGATAAATTAAAAGAAGAATTGTGTGAAACTATTTATACAAGTCTCTATTTACCAATAGAAGATCATAAAAAACATTTCATGAACTTTTATTAGATCTGTATGGTTCTAATCAAGTAGCTGAATTAGCAACAATGCATACAAAAGATGTTTTATAATCAAAACAAGATCGTGGTCAAGCTTATGAAATAAATTGGCGTGATGAAAAAATTGAAGGACTTATTCAACTTAATTAGGATTTAAATATTGAAGTCGAAAGTCTTAAAACAGCACGTGCTGAACAATCAGTGTAGAATAATAAAAGCACAATGGCGTCCTGTACTACATCAATGTTAGTTAGAACACGTGAAACTCATAAACCTCGTCCAACATAAAAACTGGCATATGTTCAATTTGGGATAAAGGTTGGAGCTGGTTAATTTTGTTGTCTTCGCACATCGTTTTGAATCAACCCGAAGTGTGATTTGTTGTTTCTAAAAAAGACTATAAATCGAGAACTTTCTTTTGTTTTTTTCTCTACTAATCATATCTTACCTTTTGTATAAGAATAAAAACGATCTTTTCTCTACTAATTGTTTGAAGGATATTATTGTGTCAGGTTGATCAGTTGTCATTGAAGAATGAATAAAATATTTATTAATAAATAAGCAAACTCTCATCGATTATTATAAGTATAAAATAATAAATTTATGAACAATTTATGTCTGTATACAACGAACTCATTTCTAATTTGAATGCTCAATCGATCAAATTTCTGATTTGTCTTATGCATACATGATTTAAAATAAACTTGTTATATTTTGAGGGCGATATATATTTCATTCAATAAAAATATCATTAATCAGGAAAAACGACCAAAGGACCATCGATAAAAGACTCTCGTCAGATGAGAAACGCATTTTTGATTTTTCCTTTCCGTAGTCAAGTTTCATCAAGTGTCTCACACTCTTGGAGGTCCAGTATAAAAAAGCTTGTTAGCGCAGTCTATTTGGACCTAAAATGTACAACTCAGATGTGTCTTGTAGAACTCACATATACTTCCCAAGAAAATAGTGAGCGCATCGCACTAAAAAGCATAGCAACGACCCCCCTCCATATTTATAGACCTGAATAACCGTATTCACCATTAAATCCAATGTTTATAGTAATACAAATAGTAAATTAAGAAAGGAGAATTAAGAAAATGAAAAATAACGAGTAGATAGCAACAAAAAATCGAAAAATAGAGTGTCCATAAAAAAAAGGAAACAAAGTTTCTATTGCAAATATAGAAATAAAAAAACAACGTTTTCTGATAACTGGTCATCATGGAAACATACCTATTGTCTTTTAGGGATTCTACACTGTATTTTGTATCAGTCTAATGAACCTAAAGAGGATTTATAAGTTCCACATTTTAGCTCCACTGGGACTGCGCTAACGAGCTTTGTTAACCTCATTATACTAATACAAAATACGTAAAATGAAAAATCTCTAGTCGACTATAATCGTTTTTCAGAGATAATCGATCGCTAGAGAAGCGATGTTTTCTATTTATTTTCGCATTTTGAACAGAAAATTATTCTTTTTCATGTTCTTGTTTTCTTAATTAACATTATTATTACTATAATTATTGATTTACCAAGAAAATAAGTATGTTGTACATACCCATTATGTTTACAGCAGGTGTGAGTGTGGCATGCTACTGCTGCTTTGCGTGACTGTCTGTAAAGCCTTGTGACTCTTCTCTCCATCCACCCACATCCCATCTGAACACACATCCACATCCCGACAAGAATCAATTTTTTGCTCCTTGATACTATCTAACATATCCATCATAAAGATTTATGTTGATTGTTGAGGGTGTGAGTGTGGCAAGGGATCATATGGAGGTCAATCTATTTTAGACTTCCTGAAGAAAAAAGATCAAATCAAATAGATTTATGATTAGAATAATTTTGATCTATGTCAGATTCTATTGCACGTTATTTTTTAATGAAGTAAATCTTTATTTCAAAATCAAAAAAGAAGAAGCAATGAAGAAGTAATATATATACATCTCTGGGCAAAAGTGTTTCCCGACCACTCCTTTTTCAACAAAGTTTTTTCTACTATTATAAAGACAAAACATGGTATTCCTCGGACCGATCAGGGATTATCAGGGTTCTCTTTTATATGGCTCGAACAACACCATGTCATGTCCTTATAATAGTGGAAAAAACTTTGTTGAAAAAGGAGAAGATGGGAAAGACTTTTGCCCAGGAGTGTATATGAGTTAGTCTTGATTAAAGTCATCTTATATTTGATTTCTAGATTATATAAAAAGAAGGATAACAAACAAAAAGAAAAACAGTCAATAATTTGATGTTTTTTTCAAAGTCATTTCAGTATCAATTAACTGCTGGTGGACTTGTTTAGCAATAATATCTTCAAACGTGATTTTATCATTGAATGTTAAAGTTTTAACATCAATGTGATTTTTAAATTCAGTGATCATCATATTTATCTCATTTGAACAATGTAAAACATGATAAGAAATTTTTTTCTTTTTCATTGGTTGTAATACATTTTGAGCAGTTTTTCCACATGGACAACCATCAGGCCATTTGTCACGTCTTTGGGTATATATTCTGCCATGCGGAGGTGCATCAAGAATATGAAACAATAGATGATCAGCATTATCACGCCAATTTAATGTACATGCTGCATCAAGACCATCAAGTACGGCCTCGGGAATATCACCACCTGTTCCTGTTTTAAGATTCTTTATGTAATCACAAGCCAGTGCATCACTTGTAAAATTGCATTGACGGAAAACATATTCTGCTCCTTGCTCATGATCACGATAGTCGACGATACCAAATCGAAAATCTGATGTTGACTTTCCAAGTTTAGCCATTAATGCTTGATTCTCAACGATAATACATGTAATAGTGTTTTTCACTTTTTCAAAGTACGGTGCCATAGATCGTGTTGTATCGATAACAAAACATACATCAATACCTTGATACATGTCTAATGTATGGTGATCAGCTTGACATTCAAAAACATGATTTCCAGTATGCCAAGCATCTAATGTACAAAAGGCTTTAAGAGAATCTTTAACAATCAAACCATTTTTGTCTCGTACGGCATGCTTTGCACAATATGTATTACATGAATCAATTAACTTTCGATCAACATCATTAACAGGTGCAAACCATTTATGTTGTGACCAATATGTTGAACATAAAATCTGATCAAATTTTTTTGTACTTGGAATATCTGGTCCATAATAATATGTGTCATTAGAATGTTTTGCTTTATTTCCAAGTACTTTTTCCCAACATGCCGAACCACCAGGACATTCAATTAAATGAAAATGAGATCGACCACGACGTTTGCAAGATACACTACAGTTTTCTGGTTTTGCTGATTCTCCAACTTTATATTTTCTTATAGTAGTTTCTTCTTGTTCACTTGAACGTATTTCAATTTGATCAGTTGGATTTGTACTTGTAAATATGTGTTGTTCTTTATTTCGATGAAGTGTTCTATGAAATCCATCATGACCTTGAGGATTTTTGCAAAATGAACCACAATCAGGACATCTTTCTTGACACGTATGTTGTCCATCACATCGATGATTTGTAATATCATCATGAGAAGATTTTCCTGCTGGAATTTGAATTCCGCATTTATCTCGAACTTCTTCTACTTCAATATGATCATATATAAATTCTTCACCAGATTCTGTTGTCCATTTTCGTTGTTGTGTTTTATATTCTTGTTTACATACACCAGGTGCATCACATATACCTTTGCAATAATGAGATTGATTACATAAATGTTTCTTCACTTGATGAGTTTCACGATTAATAGTTATCGTAACTAATCCTGTTGTCATATCATGATTATGATCTTCAGTTGCACACAAATTACCACATGAAAATATGCATGATTTCCAACAATTTTTTTTATTACATTGATGAACATTATGTTGTGTAAGTTCTAATGGTATGGCACATGGATCCGAACAAATACATGTTGCTGGACATTGATGAACACGTTCACATTGATGATGTTCTGGTTCCTTATGTTCATATGCAAATCGACATCTATTATTTGAAAAACCATAGATTTCACAAATTTGACAAAATTTTGTACACATATGACCAGCATTACATTTATGTTCACCGTAGTGTCCAGCTGAAAATACACATAGATTTTGTTTTGTTATATCTTCTTCAGCACATATTCGACATATGCCAGAACATTTATGATCTGTTCCACAATTACAATTGTTTTGAGCTTCTTTTTCTAGATATATAATATCCGCTGTTAAACGAGAGTAAATACCAATATCGAACAATTCTTGTTTTAAATTTTTATTACATAAACTTGCATTTTCATACTCTTTAACAATTTGTTGGTACTTTTCATTACATTCTTGTGTATTGGTAAAGTTAATCGGACGACTAGTACTGTTCATGTCATACAATTGTTTATTTAATTGCTCTTTATAAATTTTGAGTCGAATAAGTTCTTCATCAGCAGATTTGAGTGCGTTTGCTAATGATGCATGTTCATGAATTAATTTATTTGTTTGAGAAATTTTATTCAATCTTTTTAAATTAGTACTCAGTAAATTTTTTTGACTTGTAAGCGATTGAAGAAGTGTACTTCCTGAAGCATTTAATTTTTCATTAATTTGAACCTCTTCATTATATTTTTTATGTTTAATAGTTTGTTCGTCAAGTTTCTTGTTAATATTCAACAATTCTTGATCTTGTTCATTTAATTTTATCTTGTTTAATGATAGAGTATTTAAAATGAGTTTATTTTTTTCACTTAAATATTCAGAAGATTTTAATAGTTCATTGAGACGATCTTCTGATATTTGCTTTTGATTATCTGTATCCAATTGTGGTTTGTTCAAAATTTTAGTTAATAGAGAATCATCTTTATATAGAGCTAGTTTTTGTTGTTCTAATTCATCTAATTCAGCTCGAGTTTTTTCGTAATGTTTGTTAAGTTTCTCCAATATTTGTTTCTCTTGATTGATGATCTCCAGAGGATCATCTTCTTCTAAATTCTTAATATCTGTTTTCTTTTCATTGATCTTTTCCAAACACTGAAATAAAAGATTTTTTTTCTGTTGAATCTTTTTATCAAATGAATCTAGAGTTTGCATAAGTTGAGTAACTTCATCAAGTTCTTCATTTAATTGTTTTAATATCAACTGATCTGTTTCAATAGAATTTATTCTTGTTTGAATAAGATTAATTTTTTCAGTAAGTATTTTTATGTTTTCTTCATTCTTATGTATTTGTTCTCTGCATTGTTGGATTCGAATATTGTCATTCGATGTTTCTATTTCTTTTCTATTAGTAGCTATAATACATTCTTTTTCATTTTTTTCGTCTAAGAAGAATTGTAATTTTTGAGTTTCTTGTTTTATTGTTTTCTCGACCTTTTCATGATCGTTACAATTATAAGAATATGAAGAATTATTTCGTTTGTCTTGTAAATCTTTAATATAATGTTCTATTTTTTCAATAATAGACGAGTTCATTGTATCATCCAATTGATGAATATCATTAATTTTTTTCGATAAATTTTCTTTTTCAATATTGATATCAGTTAATTTTTTGACAATTTCTTCATATTCTTTTGTATCTTTTTCAATCAATTGTGTTGTATCTTCTTTTTGATTTCGAACAGTATTTTTTTCCTGTTCAAGTTCTTTAATTCTACTTTCAGTATTGTTTAAATTTTCTTTAGAAGCATTAAGCTGTTTTTCAATATATTCTAAATTTTCTTTAATAAATATAGAATAATTGAAAATTTGATCAATATTTTTGGTCATCATAGAAAAAAATAATGGTGTCAGACGTTGACAATAATCAATTGATTCATTAGTTTCTTCTTTCATCGAGAAATAGAATAAGTCAATTTCAGGTTTATTATTTTTTTCATAATTTGTATGAAATGAATCGATAAGTATATTCAATTGATCACTATTATATTGAGTAGGATTCAGTAGAAGCAAAAGTTCTTCATCAAGATTTTGTAATAATTCATTTGTGTCTTGAAAATCTTCTTTGTTTGGTAAAAGAGTTTTTAATTGTTGAGCTATATCATTAATATTTTGTTGAAAATCTTGAATATTTTTATGTTCAATAGCAATCTTTGAATCACATTCATTGTTTTGTGTATCAATTTTTTCTTTTTCAGTTAGACATTTTAATTCATTAGATAATAAATTCATCTGTTGACGAAAATTGTTTTCATTTAATGTTGCATTATATATATCTTGATTTAATTTTTGCGTACGTTCATGAATATTTATTAAATCAATTGTTTCTAATGAAGTTTGTACGTTTTTTAATTCTTCTTTTTTCTTTTCAAGTAAAAATTTTGTTTCTTGTGTATGTTGAGAATTTTTTATACATTTTAAATCACATACTGAACATTTTTTCAAACATATTTGTGATTTAAATGAAAGCATATATTGTTCCATTGTATTCAAAAATTTCGTTTTACGTTCTTTAACATTATTATTTTCAATTGGAAATTCTTGTTTAAATTTTTCAATCATCCATTCTTTTATTTGTTGACGACGATAATTCATCACTTCAGGAATAAGTTGATCAACAAATATTCGCATTTTATTCATTTCTTCTTTGGTTTCAATGGTACAGTCATTGGGAGGATATAGTTGACTATAAATAAATTCACAAATGTTATCAAAATTTTGATCCGAAGCATTTTCTTCTAAATATAATTTTACATGATGCAATTTAATTAAATATTCTTTATTATCAAATATTGTTTTTATAATTTGTTCATTCAATGCAATATTTTCTTCATCATCTAAATAAAATCTAGTCCAAGCTTTTTTCATACGTTCAATTAATTCTGCTAATTTCATTTCACAATGTATTTCATCCGAATCAATAAAATCATCTGTATATAATTGTACTAAAAGAATTTTCAAACGATCAGCTAAATTTTTTCCATTTTCCCATCGATGTGATGTTTGTAATTCAGTATTAATGTAATTGAAAAATAGTTGACGTAAACCTTTAACTTCATAATCAAAATTTCTATTTTCAAAATGATGTACTAATTGGACTTTGAATGTATTAGAAAATAATTGTTCAAGAAAGCCACTTTTACCTTTACTTTGTAAATCTAAAAATTTCTTTTCAGCAGCATCAAATGATTCTTGAGCATTACTATCACTTATATCTCGAATTGCAACTAATAATATTCCTTTAAATAGTTTCTCACTTTTACTTATTTTCTCAACTGCTTGAGATAAAAAAGCAAATAGACGATCTTGAAAACGACTAAATCCTAAATCTTGACTAAGAATTGTTATATCACAAACAGCAGTTAATAATGAAATAAGTTTTATTTCTTCATCATCAGTTCGTTGATCACTAAATAAACCTTCACAGTCTAATATAATAAAATGAATATTTTCCAGAAAGACATAACTCATCCATATACCATCAGTACATCGTCCAGCTGCAACAGCAAATCTTGTTTGAAATATTTTATTTAATAAATAACTTTTTCCAGTTGATTGACGACCAATAATACCAACAATTCGAATATTTTCGTTTTCATTAATATTATTTAATAAATAATCTAAATATGAAAATGAAATTTCTCTTGCTTTCATATCAATTCGAAATGATTTAGATGATAAATGATCCATTCGCTCACGTCGTCCATTATTCAATGGAACAAGAGTACCCATTTCAATTGTACAAAGTTGTAGCGGTACACGACTAATCATCGTTTTAATTAAATATTCAATATCTGTAGTAGAACAATTCAAATCCATCTTTTCATACACTATTGTTAATTGTCCTGAGACACCCACATCTTTGAAATACTTTTTTATTTTATCAGAATAAGATGAATATTCTCGCGAAAGTACTAAACGATATTGAGTTTCATTGAATGAATCTGGCACACCAAATTGTATTTCACCTCTTTTGATTATATCCAATAGTCGATTGCCAATGTATTGTTTAGTTGATTTGTCTAAATTGCTTGAACTTTCTTGTCGTTCAATACGCGTATCTGATATGAGATTTTGAATACAATAAACTTCATTAACTTGTGCATTAAATAAAACACAATATGTATCAACAAAATCTGTAAAAATTTGCATTTTATAAAATTGAGAATTTTGATTTAATTTAATACTAAATATTTGATAATAATTCTGATCAATAATATCGATACAAGATTTGGCTTGAAAGAAAAAAATGGGATTTTTTTCTCCAATTGTTTGAACTGTTCCATAAAGTTCACCATTATCAGTTATGAAATTTGTTTCATAGGTTGAATTATTCGTACTTTTACATAATAATGATGTGAATGTGGTATTTTCGTTTGAGATATCGATTGAATAGACTGTGGAATTTGAGTCAATGAGAATAAGTAAATTTTGTGCTGCAGTTAATGCAAGACTTTTAACACCATTAGGCTTTGTAAAGCTATTCGATTGATCTAAGACAGAATGAATCTTGAATTCTCCAGATTCACTCAATGACCATCTTGTTATATCTCCAGTATTTTTATGATAAAAAACTAATGTTTGTGAATTTTGACTGGATGCATATGTCGGATGAATTTCAGAACGAGAATAATCTGATATTTTTTTAAAAAATCCATTCTTATACAATAAAATAGTATATCCAGTTTTTTCACTCAATTTTCCATTATTAATATTAGGTCTATTAATGATAATAATTTCACTTTTACCATCATTTGTACTAAAACAAGCAATTATTTTCACTTGTCTTGGTAATCCAAGACGATCGGATTCAGATAGTTCAGAAAGATTCATAAAAAGATTCAATTCATTAAATGTAATTTGAATTGGAACAGAACAATTAACAGATATATGCTGTAGATGATGTTCATTATCAAATTGAGGAATATAATGTAATGGGTGAATATCAAAATGAACATCAAGTTGATTTTCCGATTGAGTTTCTAATATAATTAATTTTATACAATTTTCTTGTAAATGACGTACGTCATTTTTCTTATCAATTTTCTTTAGTCGAGATATAAAGTTGGCACGTTGTTGAGATTTAATATTAACAACACCATTATTATTTCTCAGATAGTTATGTAACGAACCGACAAGATAATCAGTGCACTCTTCAGCACTTGTTTTGAAATTGTTTGGGTCAATTAACCAATTCTTTGTAATTTGATATAACTGTTTTCTAAAATTTTTTTCGGTGTCATGTCTGAAAGATCCGAATATTTTGCTGATGCCAATTAGCTCTTGAATAGATGATTTTGCTTCCTGATCAATATGTGCTGTTTCGTTATTATATAACTGTACATAAGTAGTAATAATTTTTTCGATTTCAACCTTTTGTTTGTTCGATAAAAATACTCGACTTTGATCACAAAAATTCAAGATTGTACGTAAATTAGCTGCATTAATATGAAAGTGAGCTTGTAAAAGTTCATTTAATTTAGTAAATCTATTGTTTGCTGTATTTAAATTTGTTTCTTGAAAAGTTTTTCGAACACAATATGTAATTGAATTACTATTTGTAATTAAAACATTTCGACATTGTTCATCTAATAAAGATTTGAAAATATTTTTATCATCAAGTTTAATTTTTTGTGGTGCTTGAATATTAACTAATTCTCTTTTTACTAATTTATATGTTCGAGATCCATGTGGTTTACCATGAAATGAATGTTCAGTTGAAAAATTTACATAAAATGTTTCTGATGGACAAATAATAATATTGTGACATATATCTTGTAAAAATCTTTGCATTACAATAGTAAAGTAATTTCCTTTTTCCAACGTTATATTTTGATTAGAAATTAGTAAAAAAGCAATATTGATAC